GAGGGCGATGAGGCTGACACTGGACCCCAAATCACCCAACTCTGGGCACCCCGAGCGTCACCGAGCCCCATCAGCTTGGGGACCACAGCCAGGGCCACCCGAGGCCAGCGCACACTGCCTGGGACACACAGAGGCGTGCGCGGAGCCCTGGGAACCCTGAACCCCTGTCCTGGGGCACAGGGACACCGCGGTGTCCCCTCCCGGGTGTCCCCCCTCGGGGTGTCCCCTCCCGCGGTGTCCCCTCTCGCGGTGTCCCCTCCCGGGGTGTCCCCTCTCGGGGTGTCCCGTCCCGGGGTGTCCCCTCGGAGTGTCGCCTCTCGGGGTGTCCCCTCCCTGCAGCCCCACCTCTCTCCGCCGCAGCGAAGCCTCGGGGGCTTCACGGCTGCCATGACAACGCAGGAAATTCCCACAGAAATCCCTGCAGGGAGGAGGAGGAGGAGAAGGAAGGGGAGGAAGACGAAGGGGAACTCCCAGCCAGGCATCAGCAGCACCCCACGTCTGTCCCCAGCAGCTCTGGGGAGATGCCACAGCGGCTCCTGTGGCTATTTCAGCACCACGGGGCCAGCGGTACCCGCCCCGGACCAGCCCTGCCTGTCCTGGCACCCCCAGGGCATCCTCATCCCTGTGAGCCATGCCCGTGGCTCCAGCCATAAAACCACAATATTTTGGGGTGGAGGGGGTGGGAGCCAGGCGGGATGAGCTGGGGGTGTTTTCCCCCCATGGCAGGGACCTGTAAATCACTGATGTCCCTGCCCGTACCCCCCTCACAGGCATTATCCTCCCTCTCCCTCCTGCAATCCCTTCCAGCGTGGGGATTAGGTGGGTTTAGGGTCGGGTTGGAGTCGGAAATGGGATGCTTTCAAATCAGCCTGCGTCACTTGTGCCTCTGTCACTCATGCCCAGGGGGATTAAAATAGATATGAAGATTATCAGAGGGGAGGTGACACCCCCACCTTGGGGGCCCCCACTGTCCCCCAGCCCTGGCAGTGCTGCCTGTGGGGTGCTCAGCTCCAGCCCTCCAGGATGTCTTCCCAAAGGCACAAACATCTCCCTTTTCCTCACCTTTCTGCTCATATCCCATCCTACCCCACTTTCCAAATCTCTTTCTTAAACAGGAGAGGATAAAACACCACTGCAGCATCTCGCCTCTCCAATTCCTGTGTTTCCAGCCTGATCCCATTCCCAAAACACCTCGTTGGGCTCGATACCAGTGCCCAAACCCCCTACCTGGAGCTCAGGAAGGGTTCCCAGGTTTATTAGCAAGAATTGCTCATTCCTGTGGTCCTCAGGGCCTGGGCTGCTCCTGTTCTCGACCTCTGTTTGGTCAAGAGCTGCCCACTGGTGTTCCAAAACACAGCTCTGGGTTTTGGATGCTTTGCCAGGCCTGGTCCCTGTCTCCTGCCCTGCTTCAGCCTCGAGGTTTAGGTCTGGATGTTCCAGGTCTCTCTCGGTGGGTGCCCGAAGCCCCTCGGCCTCACTGCTCTTGGGAGGGACCTTAAACTCACCCAGTGCCACCCCTGCCATGGGCAGAGCCACCTTCCTCTGTCCCAGGCTGCTCCCAGCCCCATCCAACCCGACCTTGGACACTTCCAGGAGGGGGCAGCTGTAGTTTTTTAATGTCCAGGAGATTTTGGGGTGAATTAGCCCCATGTTGGGTTCTTCCCATCCTGGAGCAGCCACTCCAGCGCATTTCTGTCCCCCCCAGGCCAGCGGGATTTAATCACTTGATGCATTTTTGTTTGTGTAATTCCACGGAGAGTGGCTCTTCCTCCCATCTGCCCCTGCCATCTGCTCCCCACGGCCATCCCGGGCTCTGCAAACTGGGAGCTGCTGCAGGGACCCTGGAAAAACCTTCTGGCAATGGCAGCTCCTCATGGAGAGCATCCGGCTCCGCTGGAGTCTTTTCCCAGTGCTCTGAAAGCCACTTTGCTCCTTGCTGGAGTGACTGGGAATGCTTTGCCACCCTTATCGGGGTCCTGGGGACTCCCAACCCAAAATGTCCCTTTCTAGCCCCAAAAAGCCTGGCTTGGCACCTTCTTGGGCCAGGAGACAGCGTGTCCCAGTGCTCCCAGTGCTCCCAGTGCTCCCAGTGCTCCCAG